TTTTTACCAGGAAGAATCGCACACTGTAGGACAAAAGAGGGTGTGAGGACGCTTGACGATCTGGAACTTATAACTGTGAATGTTTTTGTGTGTGTGTAAATAAAACAAAACAAACAAAAGACAGAGATTTGAGGTTAAAGACAGCAAAGTTTTTATTCCTGCTGTTGCTCGTCTTGCATAACTGGGAGTACACACTGTAAAGTATAAAATCTAGAAGGCAAAACCTGTTGTTACCTTCAAGGCAAGTCAGCCTGTAGAGACATTTGAATCCTTTTTTAATGTCAATGTTTGTTGGGAAACAGTTCGGCCCATTTGAGTCAACGTTACGTTTGTGCGGTTCTTGGAGAGCGGCGGAGGCGCCGGCACGCCAGCCTCTTACGGGCTTGTGTGAGTGTGATGTCACTTAAGTAAAGCTGGTGTAATCCTGTAAGGGAGGATGAGTATACAGACATGTGATGGCCCACTTGTTTCTTGGGTGGAGGGTGACGGAGGGGGGGCTGGCAGGCATTACCAAACAGATGGAGAGGCTTTGTGATGCGTGTGGGGGCGTGTAACTGATTAGATACAACATTTATTGACGCTCCCTTTGATGGTTTTTACCTTGATTCTGTTTCTAATCAAAGTGAAGTGAAGCCAAAGTCACATCCAGATTTTACTGGGTTTACGTCTCGGTCAGTCGGACATTTTTTTGCGCATGTCCAGCGCGGACACTCTGGTCATCATACTCAATTAGAGAACTTCCTGTCCTCCCCTCACCCCCCTCTTCTAGATTAAATCCATTACACCACACTTACCGGCTGCACACTTTGTCCTCCGGAAGGACGACGCGTGTTCTCTAAGTTAGGATAGTTTGCGTGCTGAAAATTACATCTCAAGGCGCTGTGACTCTGGAGTCTTTGATGGGTGGAGATGAGCGCCACCAGCAGCACCAGACTGAACCCCAGTCCGAACTTACTGCAAGTGAACGAGCCCAAGCGCTATGGCTCCACGCTGTCGCTGGAGGAAAAGTGTGAACAGTCTTTCTTCCTTTTTTACTACTACAGGATGGAGGATGAGGCGGTGCTGGACCGTGGGGCGTCCTTACTCAAACACCTTTGTGATGAAGAGGAAGTAGAAGGTAAGTTTTACCTGTTGCTCTTTAGTTCTTCTATGTAGCTGC